ACGCAGCCCCGCCGCCCTTATTACTACAGTCCTGGTTTTAGAGAAAGAGCTCTGTTTTAGTATCAATACATCAGATCCTTAGGGAAACTCACAGGCTTATGTACCAGGCTGTTGCTAGGTCAGCAAGAATGTCCCTCCTCCCTGCCTGAGGTCCTAAAGGAAAGCCTTGATTGCTCAGGCTAGTCCTTCACACAACACTGTTTTACATTTCAAATATATGTCACCGGTAATATTGGTCTTCTGACAGAACTATGCCTCTCTCAAAAAGAAAACTGGAACTTTATGGCATGCCAGGTCTTAAGGTTGGTTGTGACCTGTAATGTCTCCTTGAGCAGCTTGTTAACAGGTCTATTCTTTGATATTTGGGTGGGTCTAGTAATTTTTTTTTATTTTTCAAGACAGAGTTTCTCTGTATCTTTGGAGCCTGTCCTGGAACTCACTCTTGTAGATCAGGCTGCCCTTGAACTCATAGAAATCCACCGGCCTCTGCCTCAAGCGTATTGGAATTAAAGGTGTGCACCACCACCACCCAGCAGTGACTTTTTATTTTTAACTCAGTGATGGCTTCTTTGAAATGGTTTGGAGTCAAATATCTGGACAATCCCGATAAACAATGTATACCCAGGTATTCTAATCTCTACCAGCCCTCATTAGCATAGACTCACAGTTTGGGTGTTTTAGACGCATTTCTCCCTCTGATAAATTCTACTGTGTGAGAGTTAAATAATTTTTAAGCATTGGTAAATCTATTGTATCACCAATTCTACTCTTCTCCATTATGACACAGTAGTGGAGAGCTACACGACATGTAAGATGCCTTTGATAACATCCACAAATTTAAATATAAATTCAAATTATAGTTAAAGCTTAAATGCAAAGTGCTCGATATCGAGAAGATACTGGAGAAACGAGGCTTCCCTGAGTTTGGCAACTTGTTTCCATGAATGCAGGAAACGTGTTGAAGTTGACTAGGAAGGTGTTTTTACACGCAGCTTTCCACTCCCAAGACTCAAATGAGATGAAGCCACAGAGCAAAGTTATTCAGAGGCCTGCCCCTAGGTCCAGGAGTTAGCAGGGCCCATGAGGGACTTCACAATACAGGCAATATGGCGGCAGGTTCCCACCCAGGCCCATGGAGTTCACACCATAGTGTTTTCCGCACCTCACCCTCTGCTCCTCCCCATCAGGAGACATCATTCCCTCACTCACCATGTTGTGCTTCTCCATTTTCCCAAAGTTCTCAGCTCATCATCTCCCTGCAACAGCAACTGCACCCGAGAACAGGAATCCACTGGCTCCAGCTCCTCTTCAAAGCCAAGACTGAAGGCGGCTGCCAGGAAGAGACCTGCACTGCTTCTGACTGGCAGGTCATCTGGAGTGCTGATTGGCTAGTGAGTCCTGAGTGGCTAGAGCCCCGCCCATATAGGGTACAGTGTGCTTAAAGAGACAGAATACTAGCTCCTGTCCATTCCATTCACCCCAAGAGAGAACTTTCCAGATCTGAGAATACATGCATTTTAATAGCACTGGCCCCTGGCTACTAAAGCAATCAATGTCATCTTCTTGCACTCCTAGCAACTTTCCCTTTTTCTTCTAGCATTCTGTGTGACTTATACGGTGCACTGTGCTAGGTGGGTGGAGCAATTTCCTGTCTCACAGATGTAAGGATGCCTAGAATACTAACAACTAAAGAGAGTTTTAAAGTTACAAAATGAAATATTTGTTCTGTGGTCAGGACCTCTCCCACAGCATATTTAGGTGGGATCCTAGAGGCGAAACACATGGCTCCCAGTTTGCATGGGCTCCCCCGTCCTGATTCCCTGATTCCCAACATGGGATCAACCACTAGAGGGTGCTGTACTTAATAAAATGATGGATATTTTGATTTGTTTTCATTTCACCTAATTGAACTTCTATGTGCTAGCAGAGCTGCGCAATCTTAGGATTTTTTCTTACCAAGAAGGAAGCACAAAACACACAAGAAACACTCTTAGGAGATTATTAGAGGGGGCATGTAGAGGCCTGGGAAGTTAGTGTTCAGAGACAGGGAGGACGATGGCTCATCTAGATTTTAAAAGCTGCCTGGTGCATGCACACAGGGGTTGACATGGCTCCATCATATGCAGATGATCGGGCTCAAGGAAGCGGGCAAGGGTTTAGCTGAGTCATACGTGGATCATGCAGGAGGGAACCTTTAACATCCCCAGGTGACTGAGGGCTTGTGTGCCCCTGCATGACCCCTAGAACCTAGAAGTACCAACCATATGTGGCTTAATCCATTGCAGTCACCACCTTACCAAGTGATTTGAAATGCCCATCATGAGCTGAATATTACTGGATCTATCAAGTTATAAAGTAGGACATTTACAGCTACAACCTGTTATCAAATGGGAGTGGTATATTAGAGATCAGGACCACGTAGGTCCGGAAGACACAAGGAAGATACATGAAGAAATGGCCAACTTCCAATGGTTTCTACTCCTGTTACAATGCCTTCTGCTGTCAAGCATACACCTATAGTCTATTCCCTATGATTGGTTGAATGAGGAAGAGATGACTAGGTAGTGGGATTTTCTGAGTTTGAGACGAGTCTGGCATACAGAATCAGTTCCACAATTACACAGAAAAATCCAGTCTTGAAATCACCAAAAAAAAAAAAAACTGAATCAAACAATAACTATGACCCAACTTCAATCAGCATCTTACATTCTAGCAGCAGCAGTCACATATAAAGTATTTTGAAGAAGAAAAGTCTCTTTTTGCCTCTGTGCTTTGGCTCTGGCTACCAAGCTCATTCCTGTACTAGCATTAGTGCCTACGTCATTGTAATTTTGGTGAATACTTAAAATGAGCTGAGAAGTCAAGGTTTGTGGGCTGAACAACTGCTGGATTCTTCACTTGATCTTAGAGAAAAGGCTGAGAAGCAATCTATTGGATTCTTCAATTGCCATTGGTAAGCAGCTGTTCTTAAGTTACCTGGACCACAGCTTGTAAGACATTCTAATAAGCTCACTTTTTACATCCATGGTGAGAATCATTCTACCTGTTCTGTTCATGTAGAGAATCTTGAATACTGCAGCTGTATATTTTATTCACCTAACTATAGAGGAAGATATGCCGGCTGACAATAGTGCTCATGAAGTCATTCTTTCTAGCTCCATTATTCTCTACATATTCAAATTTCCATGAACACTACCCTTTTTATAATTATTCATTCGCCTGGAGTTTGCTTCGAATTTAAGGAATAAAACCCATAAACAATGGAGTCATCATCCAGCTTTCCGATGGGGGAAAGACCAATCATCTTGAGACCTGGTTCCTGCTTTTCTCCTTCCTGTTGTGTAAAATCCCTGTGAAAACCATGTAAAAAGTACCTTCAGTTCATCTGACCTCAGAGTGAAGCCACAGAACAAATATTTCATTTTGTAACTTTATTTATTTATTTATTTATTTATTTATTTATTTTTCGAGACTTGGTTTCTCTGTGGTTTTGGAGCCTGTCCTGGAAATGGCTCTTGTAGACCAGCCTGGTCTCAAACTCCCAGAGATTCCCCTGCCGAGTGCTGGGATTAAAGGCGTGCACCACCACTGCCCAGCTCATTTTGTAACTTAAAAACTCTCTTCTTGAGGGGCGGGGTGGAGCCGCGGCAGGAAGGCGAGGGGCGGGACCTGCTGGGAGCGCGGCGGCGGCGGCAGCGTGCGCGGGCACGAGCGACGGGCCTGCTTCGTGCTCAGGAGCAGCGGGCGCGCGCTGCGGCGGGTGTGCGGGACGCGGTCTGTTGTGCTCCCGGTTCTGCTCGGTCCCTCCTCGGTGGCTGGCGGAGGCCCCGAGCGCTGCGCTGCGGGGCGCGTCCCTTCCTTCCCTGCTCGTCCTGCCAGGCTCCTCTCGCACTGAGCGGTCTCTCGGACGCCACACCGGCCCGGATATGGGTCGTGGACAGCAGAAGATTCAGTCTCAGCAGAAAAATGCCAAAAAGCAGACTGGACAAAAGAAGAAACAAGGACACGACCAAAAGGTTGCTGCGAAAACTGCCTTAATATACACCTGCACAGTCTGTAGGACACAAATGCCAGACCTGACTCTTCTACTGTCTCAGACCTAGGTAACAATCCTGCAGCTGCTTTTTTTTTCTTTCTTTCTTTCTTTCTTTTTTTTTATTTATTTTTTTATTTTTCGAGACAGGGTTTCTCTGTAGCTTTTTTTTTTTGGGGGGGGGGGGGGTTTCCTGTCCCGGAACTAGCTCTTGTAGACCAGGCTGGCCTCGAACTCCCAGAGATCCGCCTGTTTCTGACTTCCGAGCGTGCGCCAGCACCGCCAGGCTGCAGCTGCTTTTTGTAAACAAACTGTTGATCAGCAAAAATAAAGGGGCTACAGAAACACTCATTTTTATGCTGTTCCCTTTGGGCTTTATGCAAAGACAATTCTGTGTAAGTGTATAGTCAACTCTGATTTGGAAATCTGAAAAATCAGTCCATTCTTATAAAGTTTTTTTTACAATTGTAATTATATTGATGTTCATATTGTGTAAAATAACTCATTCAATAAAGTAGTGCTTTGATTTCACAACATCACAAGAAAAAAGAAACTCTCTTTAGTTGTTAGTGTTTTGGGCATCCTTACCCCTGCGGGACAGGAAATTGCTCAATCCACCTAGTACAGTGCACAGTACAAGCTAGTGAGTCACCATTGCATCCAACAGGAAAAAAAGAAAGTTCCTCTGGAGAGCTAGAAGATGACATTGATCACTTTAGTAGCCAGGGGCCAGTGCTATTAAATGCATGTATTCTCAAATCTGGAGAAGTTCTCTGTTGGGGTGAATGGAATGGACAGGAGCCAGTATTCTGTCTCTTTTAGCACACTGTACCCCTATGGGTGGTGCTTTTGCCACTCAGGACTCACTAGCCAATCATGCACTCCAGGTGACCTGTCAGTCAGAAGCAGTGCAGGTCTCTTCCGGGCAGCTGCCTTCAGTCTTGGCTTTGAAGAGGAGCTGGTGCCAGTAGATTCCTGTTCTCGGGTGCAGTTGCTGTTGCAGGGAGATGATGAGCTGAGAACTTTGGCAAAATGGAGAAGCACAACATGGTGAGTGAGGGAACGCGGTCTTCTGATGGGGAGGAGCAGAGGGCGAGGTGCGGAAAACACTATGGTGTGTCCTTCCGTCATCTGCATGGAAACCTGCCGCCATAGTCCCTGTACTGTGAAGTCCCTCATGGTCCCTGCTAAACTCATGAGTCTAGGGGCAGGCCTGTGTATAATTTTGCTCTGACTCAATCTGCTTAAAGTATTGGGAGCAGGAAGCTGTGTTTAAAAACACTTTTGTAGTCAACTTCAGCAGGGTCGATGCATTCACGGAAACAAGTTGCCAAGCTCAGAGAGGCCTAGTTTCTTCAACATAGTTTCAATATTGAGCACTTTGCATTTAACCTTTAAATGTAATCTCCATTTATATTTAAATCTGTGGAGGTTATCAAATACATCTCACATGTTGGGTAGGTCTCCACTACTATACGATAATGTAGAATAGTAGAATTGGAAATACAAAGGATTTACCAATGCGTTTGAAATAATTAAGTCTCACAAAGTAGAATTTAGCAGAGGGAGGACTGTGTCTAAAACACCCAAAAGCTAAGTATATGCTAATGAGGGCTGGTAGAGATTAGAATGCCCAGGTATACATTGTTCATCAGGATTGTCCAGATATTTGACTCCAAACCATTTCAAAGAAGCCAGCACTGATATTTTTTTTAAAAAATTGCCGGTGGGCAACGATGGTGCACATCTTTAATCCCTGTAATCCTGAGGACGAGGCAGGTGGATCTCTGTGAGTCTACAAGAGCAAGTTCTAGGACAGGCTCCAAAGCTACAGAGAAATCCTGTCTCGAAAAGTCAAAAGTAAATAAATAAACATCACTAGGCTCATCCAAATATCAAAAAACAGACCTCTTATGAAGCTGCTCAAAGAGGCATTACAGAGTCACAGCCAACCATAAGGCCTGGTCTGATTTCAAGTTCCTGTTTTCCTTTTGAGAAAAGCATAGTTCTACCAGAAGGGCTATATGACACCAGGTGACCTATATTTGAAATGTAAATCACTGTTGTGTGAAGGACTGGCCTGAACAATCAAGGCTTTCATTTAGAACCTCAGGCAGGTAAGAGGGACATTCTTGGGAGACCTAGTAACAGCCTGGGACATAAGCCTTGTGAGTTTCCCTAAGAACCTGATGTATTGATAATAAAACAGAGCTCCTTCTCTAAAACCAGGAATATGCATTGGAGCTGGTAATGGTCTGGTGCCCAGGCCTTTGTGGAGGGGTTGCTTCAGATCTTGACAACCCAACCCTTCCCACTAGATGGAGCTCTGCGCTTAGCCAAGATTTCAAAATACCCTGTATACCCATTGTGTAGAATTGTTGGACTAGCTTCTTCCTAAATTTGTCTCATTGCATGATAGTTTCTGCTGACTTCATATAATTCTTTCATTTCTCCTCAGGAATTAGTATACAAAATGCTAGACATCATCTTCTCTCTCTCTCCCTCTATTCTTTTTCTTGATACAGTGTTTCTCTGGCCTTGAACTCACAGAGAAACATAGGGCTCTTCTCCCTGTGTCTTGGGATTAAAGGCATATGCTACCACCACCTGGCTATTTTTCATAAGAAGCTTATTAGCATGGGACATATCTTCTGCAACACCCCCCCGTCTTTTTTTATTTTTTACTTGTCCAGTATTTCTCATCCCCTGTGACCTTCACCTTACAACCCTGTCAGTGAAGAATGACCTGCTGTAACAGGTCACTGGCGTACTTAAGAAAATATTCTGGGAATATTTCTTGTCTAAATATCTAGACCAGCATGTTGCCTGTTGCTACCTCAATTGTTCAAAGTATAATCTGGACACAGTGGTGGCGCATGCCATTAATCCCAGCACTCGGGAGGCAGAGGCAGGCGGATCTCTGTGAGTTCAAGAACAGTCTGGTCTACAAGACCTGGTTCCAGGACAGGCTCCAAAAACCACAGAGAAACCCTGTCACGAAAAACCAAAAAAAAAAAAAAGGGCTGGAGAGATGGCCCAGTGGTTGAGAGCACTTGCTGCTCTTCCAGAGGTTCTGAGTTCGATTCCCAGCAACCATATGGTGGCTCACAACCATCTGTAATGAGATCTGGTACCCTCTGGCTTGTGGACATACATGGAGGTAGATTGTTGTATACATAATAAATAAATCCTTAAAAAAAACAAAGTATAATCTGGACGAAGTGCCTAAGAGATACTTAAAAGATAACAGCATATATTGAATGCAAAATCTGTCTAACCTGGTTCCACTTGAGCATTGGACAGAGATTGATGCATACTGTTATTAAAGAGATTTTTTTTCATTAATCTCCTAAGTGTGTGATGTGATATCTCAGTGAAAAGGCATATTAATTCTAGAAGAGTTTCATTTCCATCCTGATAGAAATATTGTTTCTGAGGGGGCTGGAGAGATGGCTCAGCGGTTAAGAGCATTGCCTGCTCTTCCAAAGGTCCTGAGTTCAATTCCCAGCAACCACATGGTGGCTCACAACCATCTGAAATGAGGTCTGGTGCCCTCTTCTGGCCTTCAGGCATACACGCAGAAAGAATACTGTATACATAATAAATAAATAAATTAAAAAAAAAATTTAAAAAAAAAAAAAAAAAAAAAAAAAAAAGAAATATTGTTTCTGAGACAAGTTGTGTTATGTTGACTCAGGTGGCCTTGGTCCCTGTCTGCTGCCTTACACAGCAGTGACCTTGAGTGTCCTCTATATTACACCTTCAAAATACTTAAATGACTAAACCAACACACAATTTTAAAATTATGTATTTGCTGGGCAGTGGTGGTGCATGCCTTTAATCCCAGCACTCAGGAGGCAGAGGCAGGCAGGTCTCTGTAAATTCAAGGATAGCCTGGTCTACAAGAACTAGTTCCAGGACAGACACCAAGGCTACCAAAAAACCCTGTCTCAAAAAACAAAAACAAAATGAATAAAATTATGCATTTGAGTCATGTAGTTACAGTCAAATGCATTTGCAGGGAAAGGATTTGCATATGCAGTATTATTTCTGTCTTCAGACCACAGTAGAAAGAATAGATTATTGTGTGCACTTCAGGAGGCACAGCATAGGCAATCAGCTGTTGGAGCCACCACTATGAAAAAGGGCCTGATTGTGGTAGCAGGAGTGATTTGTAATTTGCTAGCATATTTAAATTAATGTCATGTGAATGAACACAGACTAGATTGTGTGCTATACATATTGGGAAGGTTGTCTTGAGTCAAGAAATATTGAATTAGCAAATAGGCAACTATCCTCTGCAGATATGATTGATCTTGCTTGACACAGTTATTTCGGCTCAGTGATTTGAAAAACAGGCCATTGACTAACTCTATGTGTCAAGTTACAGATCTCAGCAGCCAACATATGTATATGGGCACCATCAATCTACCTCTTATTAATGATATCCCCTCCCCTAGGGAAGGGCCTTCTCTTTTTTCAAAGTTATTATAGAAAATTTTATTTAATCTTAAAAGTACATTATTATCATCACTTCAAAAATCACTTTTTGGTATCAGTTTCAAATACTTTCTTTATGTGTATTGCTGCTCTTTTCTCTATTTGTTTCTGTTCTCTAATGTTTCTAAGTCATTAGTAGTTTTATTTCATTTCTTTCAAGTTATGTTCATTTCTTTGTAGAGCACTGTCTCCTGTAGCTTAGGCTTGCTTCATGTTGTGTAATTGAGAATTATTTTCAACACCTAATCCTGCCTCTGCAGCCCAATGCTGGGAAGACAGTCCTGTAACTCCTTCCAGGTTTGGCCTTGACTTATCAATGAGAAAGAAAAATAGCAGTTAATAAGTGTCTGCTAATCTTTCTGGCTTTTATTTGGGAACTTAGAAATGAAGAGGGATTGGTATAGGCTTGCAGTCTTCTGTTCCTATTTAAAGTGTTCAGTGTGGAGCCTGAACCTAAAAGATGCAAAGATGGCAACATGTGGAATGCAGAATCTCTTCTAGCCTGGCTTCTCTTCGAGCTGCATCTAGAGATGGGTGTACCATATAATCATAGAGACTTATTTATTGATCTCTCAAATGTGTAGAGTGAATTCTCTCTGGGGAAGTCCTATCAGTTCTAAACAACCGTAGTTTCAGGCTTTCAGAAATTCCTTTCCGAGACTAGCTATCTTACCCTGACATAAGTGGCTTTGGTCCCAGACTTTTCCTCTCCAGGGCAATGACCTTGTTGTCCTGTATGACACCTTCAAAATCTTTTTTTTTTTTTTTTTTTTTTTTTTAAATACTTATTTATTATTTATTATGTATACAATAGTCTATTTGTGTGTATGCCGAAGGCCAGAAGAGGGCGCCAGACCTTATTACAGATGGTTGTGAGCCACCATGTGGTTGCTGGGAATTGAACTCAGGACCTTTGGAAGAACAGGCAATGCTCTTAACCACTGAGCCATCTCTCCAGCCCACCTTCAAAATCTTAAATTAAATGATTGTAGCACCTCAGTTTCAAAGTTACACATTTGAGTCAGGAAACTGAATATCCACTGCAGGAAAAATATTTGCATGTGGAGAGTGGTCTCTCTCTTGAGATCAGAATAGAAACAACTATCTCTATTTTTTCTCTTCTCCAATGTTTCTAGGTCATTAATAGTTTCATTCCATTTTTTAAGTGATGTTGATTGTTGATTTCTTTGTAGAGCAATGTCTTCTGTGGCTTAAGCTTGCCTCATGCTAAGTAATTGAGAATTGCTTGAACACCTAATCCCACCTCTGTTGTCTACCACAAGTCAGAAGCCAAATTTGGGCGATAACACATGTTATACTTGTACTGGAAACAAGAAAGATGCACAATCTATAAGTGATAGAATCTTCTGAAGTTCGCTTCAGCACTGTTGCACCAATCTGTTTTGCAGAGTTGGAAACTCAGTTAAGATTCTGTGAGAGTTTACTGAATGAATTTGTAAAAATGAAGCCACAGTTGTATGATGCGATGATAGGATGTTGAGATACCAAGCTATGAGACATATGCCATAAAGAGCTTCATACAGGGAGTGGAAGCAGCAAAAGAGAGACATCTACAGGAATAGAACTATGTAAGCCCTTTGAGAATGAAGTCCTAACAGCCTGAGACAGACCTACATGATTCATTGTTTGCCCTGATAAGTTTTAGTCTTACCTTGGTCAAATACCCTAACTGTACTCATATTCCTTTTTTTAAAAATTTATTCTTCTCTCATACTATACAATGAGTCAATACACCCAATTTTTTCATCTTATTTTTCCTTTTAGTAGTTAGTAATTCTTCATTCAGTTTCAGTTTTCTTATGTGTACTGTGTACATTGATCTGCTTCCTTGTCTCTCTCTGTTAATAGACATTTCTCTTGTAAGGTGATATCTTATTCAAAGGGTACAGAAGTATAGAATCCTGAACATAATTAGCTGTTAGTCTAGGACCAGGAAAATGGAAATAAATGTTAGGAATAATGGCAGAAATTGAGTATTGTGGTCATAGGATTTCAGTTGGAAATAAACTCCAGAAAAAAAATTAATCCTGAGGTCGTTTGTGTGATATTTTGGCTCAAATCTTTCTTCCTCTGCCTGTGCTCTATAAATTGAGTAAGACAGAATTAAAAAATAATGAGCTAATTTCTTAAATGGAACATTGAATATGTTCAAAGGTTATCACTGATGGCTTATTCAGGTGCACAGTGGAAAAAACAAGTGAGCAAAAATTAATAAAAATGAGAAGGTAGTTTCAGACAGCAGTCATGTGTTGAGATAGGCAGGGATTTTCAAGGTGTTTATCACCATTATAGAGAAGGCCCATGCTATGGAATGGAAGCTTATCAAGGTGCCACAAGCATAAGACTCTGGCCACAGAAAACTTCAATTTAGGGAAGGTGTGAGCAAAGTGATTCATAGTCTCAGGAAGCTACTTCTTTTTTTTTTGTTTGTTTTTGTTTTTGGAGACAGGGTTTCTCTGTGGTTATGGAGCCTGTCCTGGAACTAGCTCTTGTAAACCAGGCTGGTATCAAACTCACAGAGATCCACCTGCCTCTGCCTCCCGAGTGCTGGGATTAAAGGCATGCGCCACCACCACCTGGCAGGAAGCTACTTGTTTCAAAACTTTCTGCACCTGTGGTCCAAGCTTGTTAGTGTCCTTCACAAATAAGAAATCACACTTTTCAGCATCACCCCTATGTGTTGCTCTTGGAAACAAGAAAGAATCAAAATTTAAGATCATGAATTTTTAGTTTATGGTTACAGTTTATCATTGTTGCAGGCATCTATGTTATGCAGAGTTAGAAGCCCAGAGAGGAGACAGTGAGAGTTCATTGCATGGAGCTCTGAGGATTGAAGCCTGGCATTGTTGGTTGTTTTCTTTTACTTCTTTCTCTATTGAGAATCTGCTACCCATTTATCAAATAAATCTCACACATGGAGGCTTATGTTTTCTTTCCTTTTTTTTTTTTTTTTTTTTTTTTGGTTTTTCGAGACAGGGTTTCTCTGTTGTTTTGGAGCCTGTCCTGAAACTAGCTCTTGTAGACCAGGCTGGTCTTGAACTCACAGAGATCCTCCTGCCTCTGCCTCCCGAGTGCTGGGATTAAAGGCGTGCGCCACCACCGCCCGGCTGGCTTATGTTTTCTTATAAATGTCTGACCTTGCTTTGCTTTGGCTTCTTTCAAGGATGGTTATTTTAAACTTAATTTTTTCTTTCTATCTTTTCACTCTGGCCTTCATCTTTCTCTATTCTGTATTCCCTTCTTTATTTCTGACTCCATCATTTGCTGTGTAGCTAGGTGAATGTCTCCTGTTGTTCTCTCCTTTTCTTGCCTTGTCTTCACTTTTTCATCCCAGAGTTCTCCTTTCTTTTATTCTCTTTGGCTGCCAGCCCTCTCTATGCTTTCTTGTCGTTCTCTTGGTCCTTCAGTTCTTTTCCATATAAACCAGGTATTTTAGATAGGCAAAGTATCACAACTTCACAGAGCTAAACCAATGCAGCATAAAAAATGGCAGCACTTCTTTGCATCATTAAATCAAAAGTTCTACAGCATAAACAAGTAAACACAATTAGAGATGTTATTTCACAACACACTGGATTTTCATTTTGAGCCCAAACATGTTAAGATACCTAAGTTATGACACAACTTCCATGGAAACCTAGCTGCTCATAGGGAGTGGAAGTTACCAAAGAGAGAAATGCATGAGAAGTCGCAAGGACAGGACCGTTTAAGCTATTTGAAACTGAAGCCATACATCTGACAAGGGAGCTACAGGATTTGATGTTTGTCCTGCTCTACTTCAGTCTTTCCATGGTCCAGTCTTCCCTCACTGTGTCTCCATCTTTCTCTCCTGGAATGTTAATGGGATTTTGTGCCATTCTATATTGGCAATATGTAACTAGTTTTCATGTTTTACAAGATGTTACTGTCAAGAGACAGAAGCTTCTCAGCTTCAGGATGTGCCATTTATTATCTGTGCTACTGTGGTTTTACGAAGGAAGTGGTCTACTGTGCCCATGTATTACAGGCTTCTTCCCACTTTCTCTTCTATCAGGTTCATTGTGTTCAGATTGATATTGAGATCTTTAATCCATTGGGACTTGAGTTTTGTTAATGGTGACGAACATGGATCTATTTTTATTCTTTTACAGGTTGTCATCCAGTTATGCCAACCCCATTTGTTAAAGATACTTTCTTTCTTCCGTTGTATAATTTTAGCTTTTTGTCAAAAATCAGGTGTTCTTAGGTTTGTGGGTTAATAGCTGTGTCTTCAATTCAATTCCATTGGTCAACGTCTTTTTTTTTTTTTTTTTTTGGTTTTTCGAGACAGGGTTTCTCTGTGGTTTTGGAGCCTGTCCTTGAACTAGCTCTTGTAGACCAGGCTGGTCTCGAACTCAGAGATCCACCTGCCTCTGCCTCCCAAGTGCTGGGATTAAAGGCATGCGCCACCACTGCCCGGCAACGTCTCTGTTTTTATGCCAATACCAAGCTTATTTTTTTTTTTTGCTTTTGTTTTTTTTTTTTTTTTCAAAATAGGGTTTCTCTGTAGCTTTGGGGCCTGTCCTGGAACTAACTCTTGTGGACTAGGCTCATCTTGAACTCACAGAGATCCACCTGCCCTGCCTCCTGAGTGCTGGGATTAAAGGCATATGCCATCAGCATCCAGCCAATACCAAGTTTTTTTTCATTGCTGTAGAGTTTGATATTAGGAGGGTCATGCCTCTGGAAGTTCCTTTATTGTATAGGATTGTATTGGCTATCCTGGGTTTTTTGTTTTTTCCATATAATGTTGATTATTGTTCTCTCAAGATCTGTGAAGAATTTTGTTGGGATTTTGATAGGGATTGCACTGAATCTATAGATTGCCTTTGGTAGAAATGCCATTTTACTATGTTGATCCTACCAATCCAAGAGCATGGCAGATCCTTCCATTTTCTGGTCTCCTCTTCAATTTCTTTTTTGGAAGACTTAAAGTTTTTGTCAAAGAGATCTTTCACTTCCTTGGTTAGAGTTACCCCAAGATATTTTATGCTATTTGTGGCTATCATTAAAGGTGATATTTCTCTGATTTCCCTCTCCACTTCTTTATCTTTTGTGTATAGGAGGGCTACTGATTTCTTTGAGTTGATCTTGTATCCTGCCACATAACTTAAGGTATTTATTAGCTGTAGACACTCTCTGGTAGAGTTTTGGGGATCACTAATGTACACTATCATATCATCTGCAAATAACGAAAATTTAACTTCTTCCTTTCCAATTTGAATCCCCTTGATCTCCTTATGTTGTCTTATTGCTATTGCTAGAACTTCAAGCACCACATTGAAGAGATATGGTGAGAGTGGACAGCCTTGTCTTGATCCTGATTTTAGTGGAATGGCTTTGAGTTTCTCTCCATTTAATTTGATGTTAGCTGTCAGCTTGCTGTATATTGCTTATATTATATCCAGATATGATCATTGTATCCCTATTCTCTCCAAGACCTTTATCCTCAGTATGGAAGCAGGGCCTCTTGCTGGGCTCCAAGGACCTCACAGAGAAAAAGGCCGTGCATCATTCTTTGTAGGAACTTCAGTAAACATCTCTGAATTCTTTCATTTGTTCTTTCATTGATTTTATTCAATGGATACAGTGTCTTAATGTATACTTCCACCTGTCCTGGACATGATTCCATAGACTTGGCTGACATTCAAACCAGGAAAATATATCCACCTGTGCTTCAGAAATTCTGAGTTTAAAGGCCTGAGTCAATACACCCAGTTTGTCTACTGTATTTTTTTTGTGATTAGTATTTCTTCATACAATTTTCTCATGTGCACTATGTCCTGTTGATCTGTTTCCTTTGTCTCTCTATTAATAGTTCTTTTGTGAGGTGATATCCCATTCAAAGGGTACAGAAATGACAGAGGTGAATCTCCTATTCAATTTCCTTCTAAAGTGATTGTCTGTGTCTTGGAATAATACCAGAATTTTATGACTATACAGTCAAAGAAGTATACATTTACGATGTTGTCACCATCATGCTTTCTATTATACATGTGACTGAAATATTTTAGAGGGCAGTGACCTATGATGATGTGCATATCAACTTTACTCGGGAAGAGTGGAATTTGCTGGATCCTTCCCAGAAGAATCTCTACAAAGATGTGATGCTGGAGACCTACAGGAACCTCACTACTATAGGTAAAAATGAATTTTCTTCATGTTTCAAAATAAGGGGATAATTTTTTCTTGTTTAATGATGTTCTTCTGTAATTTGATTTAGAAAGAATAAGAATGAGTTGAATAAAGCAGTCATAGTTCTAAGGCTCCCTTGAGATAACAGTTTAAATATTGCATAATTTTCAATAACTTAACATATATTTTCTGGTATTATATTTTAGAATGCATTTGGGAAGACCATAATAGTGAAGAACATTGTCAATTTTCTAGAAGACATGAAAGGTAATTTTCATGGGCAAGCTGATAACAGATGATACTTTTTAAGGCATAGCACCATGAGAGCTTTGTTGTAGATCTGCAAATAAATTTCTTTTTGCTACTCATAATATAAAAGTACACACATTGAAGCAATGATAAGTATATCTGCAAAATTATTTACTAAACCAATAGCCCATAGTAAATCTTGTATTCCTTGTACACTTCTTGTGACTGTGCTAAGTTTAGTGAGAGAAGCAGTTAGAGTTGAATCATTGGCAGTTGTTCTGCAGAAACCTTTATCTATACCATAAGTCTGTGAGGAACAGCAAGTTCCCTTAGAACTCAACGTGAAAATATTTTAATTGAAATTCTTCTTTACTATGTATACCATAGGTTACTCTTGATACAAGAATATGAGCATAGGGATATAGAGAGATGTAGCATCCCACTCTCTAAGAATAATTAGATAACCAATAGTCCCCATGTTGAGTATACTTGTTGAATTGGATTAAATTATACAATTAATTGGTTTTCCACCATCACTGTTAATATATGAACAAACTCTCACTGCAAGAAGCCCTATGAGTTCTAGAACTGTGCAAATACTGTTGGGTGTCCTAGTTCACATAACATATGTAATATGGTTCATGGTATAGGAGAATTCATGAATGTTAAAGCTGAGTTTATCCAGTTCTCTTCGCCTTTGTGTAAATTATCATAGAAAAAAAGATTCTGTGACTATAAAAAGGTAAGCCATAAAAGAAAGGGATTTGCCATTGGAGGTATCTTTCAAGTTGCAAAGAGCAAAACATGAGTTTAGACAGACTTACAAAAACATAGTATCTGATTCCTCTTTAGAATTGGAACATATTATAAAATTCATAGAAATGTGTAGGCACAACAGTGTATTCAATGTAGTAAAGCTTTTACATGTGCCAATTATTCTTACAGGAGTGAGAGAATTCAAACTGGAGAGAAACCTTCAGTAAATTTTCAATGTGATAAATCCTTGACATATGACAAGCACCTTAAATGGAATGAAAGAACACATACTAGAGAGAAACCCTATGAATGTAATCAGTGTGGTAAGGCCTATGCTTACCGCAGTACTCTTCAAAGCCATGAAAGAACACATACTGGAGAGAAACCCTATGAATGTAATCAATGTGGTAAGGCCTTTGCACGGCATAATGCTCTTCAATACCATGGAAGAACACATACTGGAGAAAAACCCTATGAATGTAACCAGTGTGGTAAAGCCTTTGCAGCTCAAAGTACTCTTCAAGTACATAAAAGAATACATACTGGAGAGAAACCCTATGAATGTAATGAATGTGGTAAGGCCTTTGCAGCTCACGGTACTCTTCAAAACCATAAAACGACACATACAGGAGAGAAACTATTTGAATGTAATCAGTGTGGCAAGGCCTTTGCAGTTCACAGTAATCTTCAAAACCATAAAAGAACACATACTAGAGAAAAACCCTATGAATGTAATGAGTGTGGGAAAGCCTTTGCATCTCACAATAATCTTCAGAACCATAAAAGAACACATACTGGAGAGAAACCCTATGAATGTAATCAGTGTGGTAAGGCCTTTGCACGACACAGTAATCTTCAAAACCATAAAAGAACACATAGTGGAGAGAAACCCTATGAATGTAATGAGTGTGGTAAGGCCTTTGCACAATACAGTAATCTTCAAAAGCATAAAAGAACACATACTGGAGAGAAACCCTATGAATGTAAAGAGTGTGGGAAGGCCTTTGCATTTCACAGTAATCTGAAATGCCATAAAAGAATACATACTGGAGAGAAACCCTATGAATGCAATGAGTGTGGAAAGGCCTTTGCAACTCACGGTACTCTTCAAAACCATAAAAGAACACATACAGGAGAGAAACTGTATGAATGTAATCAGTGTGGCAATGCCTTTGCTGTTCACAGTAATCTTCAAAGCCATAAAAGAACACATACTGGAGAAAAACCCTATGAATGTAAAGAGTGTGGGAAGGCCTTTGCATCTCACAATAATCTTCAGAACCATAAAAGAACACATACTGGAGAGAAACCCTATAAATGTAATGAGTGTGGTAAGGCCTTTGCAGCTTATCGTACTCTTCAAGTACATAAAAGAATACATACTGGAGAGAAACCCTATGAATGTAATGAATGTGGTAAGGCTTTTTCACAGTACATTGTTCTTCAATGCCATAAAAGAACACACACTGGAGAGAAACCATACGTATGTAATCAGTGTGGCAAGGCCTTTGCATCTCACAGTAATCTTCAAAACCATAAAAGAACACATACTGGAGAGAAACCCTATGAATGTAATCAGTGTGGGAAGGCATTTGCAGCTCGCAGTACTCTTAAAAGGCATAAAATATCTCACTCTAGATAGAAACTCTATGAACTTAATCAGTGTGGTAAGAGCGTTGCACAGCACAGTCATCTTCAAAGGCATAAAAGAACACACAAAAGAGAGAAACCCGATGGATGTATTTCATGTGGTAAAGCACAGTAATCTTCAAAGGCTTAAAAGAACAAGAAACTGAATGAAATCAGCATGATAAAGCCTTTTCATGTCTTATTCATCTTCAAATGCATATATGTACACCTACAGGATAGAAACCGTAAATGGAATCTATGTGGTTAATCCTTTGTCACAATAATCTCCAAATACATTAAACAATCCATCCTGGAAAGAAACTATGAATTTAATGAGTATACTCTTCAAAAAGATTTTTTAAAAATCATACTGCAGTGAAACTCTCTGAATATATCCATTATGGTAATGTTTTGTACTTTATACAGGAGTAAATCTTTTTGTGTATACATCTGATAAAGCTTGTGCAAATTACAATATCCTTTGGTTACCTAAAGAAGAACCTAAGGGCTTATTCTAAATTATGTTTTAAGATCCTTACAGTCAGCTAACTAACAACATTCGTTCTGTAGAAAAAAATTTAATCATGTCAATGATCTGTTCAATATGATACCTCTTTATTTTGTTTGCAACAGCAAACTAATGAACAAAAGCTAATTCTTGAATTTATGAAATCATATGGGTAGGAGAAAAGGCTAGTCAAAGAAACACATCCTGATCCTGAAATGAAATCTAAAGTAAAACACTTTATCTCTAAATCTAGAACTGGTTATCGAAACAATATCACCCTGAAAACAGAACCAAAAAAATAAAAAGGGCCAGTGAAGAAAACACACTTTTGCTCTCAATCCAGAGCCAAAGAAACACTCTTCCCTTGTTCAACTGAGCACCAAAGCAACCAATCTCTGAGCACAGAATTCTGCCCATGTCTCAGCTTGTTCAAACTCAGGGACTGAAATCTGACAAATTTCCACCTTCAAAATCTCCTTAGATCTGGTTTTAAGAAGCCCTATATAATTCATATTGCTCATTCAGTTAGCAGCTGTTTCTTTCCACCTTGGCAGAGGCAGTCACTCTCTTCCCTCCCATATAAATCTCCTGACTGAGGTTTCTGTGAAGAACTTCTTTCACTGGAATGGATCAGAAACTCCCTAGTGGAGTTGAATTGAGACATAATTGATACTTCTACTTGAAAGTCATTTAACCCAGAGGAGCACAGCAGCAATGGACACCTCTTTTGAGGCACTTCATTAGGGGAGTAGAGCAGATCAGTAACAGACATTTCTGCTGGGAAACTCTCTTAGAAGAATTGAGCGGATCCTCTCTCTCAGAGAGGAACATCATTGCCTCATCTAGTGTGGCACCCTTCTCTTCACAACTGTAGGTGTTTCCTGACTTCAGGCAGTAAGGGTATCTTTCCCTTCAGAACTGTAACTCTTGAGTTGTGAAGTTGAATGATAATGTAACTCTTTTAGATTTTATACTTCTTCAATTGCAAGACCAAAGTAATTAAGGTATAAGGATTTATGGATGGGTACTTTGGTCTTTTGTTTTGTTTTTCAAGACAGGGTTTCTTTGTAGCTTTGAGCCTGTCCTGGAACTAACTAGTGTTGTAAATGTTTTAAATTCTATTTAGCTCACTTTTAAGTCTGAGCTAGGAACAAACTCAGAATGAAAAAGTTCATATTCATGAAAAAAATGTTAATGGCTTTAAACATCACAGATTTCTTTAGCTTCAAGAAAAATAATTTTTTATCATAGCCTTGCAAGAAATAAATTACATACCATGTTCATTCAAAACTGATAGAGGAGATAATTGCATTGTGGTTTCTATTTTTACGCATTTGAGGTAGTCACTAGAGTGTGCTGTACGTGTGGCAAATCCATTTAGTGAAGTTTAATTTGTAGACTTTATATTCCTTCTACGACTTTTTCATCTTCTGTTGTGCCTGTACCTTGTGATAGGTATTTCTGCTGTAATGTATGTAATGGAGCCCTTATCATATAATTTTTCTCAATGGTTATTGAAATATCAGGCCATGTTTAAGCATACTTTCATAAAACAGTGGTGATTTATCTTTCTGGTTTTGATTTTTTCTTTTCACAAGTATTTCATTGAAATTTTGTTGTTTGATATCCATCTTATCTTGGATATCAGTAATGATTCAGGGATACATTTGAACTCATGAGTACAAGTCCAAGGGTAGATGATGAACTACCAATGTGCTGTTTTTTCAAGAGAATTTAACAATGTTAATTTTAAAATGACTGATAAAAATTATAAGAAACATTAAATACTTGATGTGTGTATTCAAAGAAGTATTTTTATTTATCTGATATGGATGTAATAATTTATGAGAATCAACAAACATCTGTGTATGTAATTCCATAGCTTGAGGTTCTACAGGAATTGAGGTAAGATTTCTAGTCTTGCTCCGAACAGTGCTTTCCCACTGAACCATTTCAGTGGTGCTCAAATTCAATTTGAATAAATATTACACTAGTAAAATATGTTCATTTTGAGGAGTAGACATTTATTTATAACACTTTTTCAAAACCAAAATTATACACCAGGAAATTGCCTCATTTAGTAAAGATCATTGCTGCTAAGTCTGATGACCTGGGATCTATCTCTGGGTTATGCACAATACCTTTACAAGTTTTCTCATATTTCTTTACATTAGCAGTTACCCATAGACACTCCTCCAACAGCTCATTCATTCATGAATAATTTTCAAACCCAAAGAAGTGCCATTGAGGTCATTTGTAGGCAAATATCTCCATAGGTTTAATCACTAGAACTCACAAAGCGGAAGTAGATTATTGACCCCTGCTAGCTTTCCTGTCAGTGCTACATACACATCATGGCACAGGTGTATTCACACAAACACTCCAAACAATTTTAAACAGATGGAATTAACAATGCAAAGAAAGTAACAAATTACTGAGACCATATGAAATAATTTGGCCATTTAAATTATAGAATTGCAAGAAACATTGCTATTCATCAAAACAATGATGCTCCATTTTATATCTTATTTTATTATTTATTTCTCTGATTCAATTCAATTAAAATTAAAATTCAGTGCATTTAAAAACACATATTTCACCTGGACATAGAATTGTATGGCTATAATTACAACACACAGGAGTGTGGGCTGGGCTGATCTCAGTAAGGCCAGCATATTCCCCAAAATAAATTCCTGGCATCCATGGCTATGTGGAGGTAACCTGTCTTAGAAATAAAAAAAACTTAAATTATGGATCTTATGTTCATAAAATATGAGTGGTTCTTGGTTGGCCAGGAAGTACAACCACCTTGTTTTCATTTATTGGTGGCACCAACTATTGGTGACAGTAAAAATAAAGTCACTTTTGTATGCTTACACATTACAAATTTCACTTATCCCAACTTTTGTTTATAGAACACAATTAACCATCATGCATTTAACTAATTCATCTTTCTGAACTATCAATAAATCAGATACAATTAAAAACAGGAGATATAGAGCATTCTACAGTAGAAGTCAGCAACCATATCTTTGACTCCAGAACTTTGTGGTAAATTTTTATAGGGTCTAGTGTGTGGTAATCAAGTAGATCAGTGGTACTGAGTAAGAAAGGACATTTCCGGGAAGGAGTTGGAGGTAATTCCCAGTAATGCTGCCCAGAAATTATTCAAGATGCCGTCATGTTGAATAACAGACCAGACATGGGCTGGAGCCACAAACAAATGCATGACCTTGATACCTGTGGGTGTCTGTCCTAGAGAATTAAATCAGGGCTCCACACATATTTTGATTTACAGAAATACAGGGAAAGTGGCCAGCAGGTGCATGACCTGAGCCCTCAGGTCGGATAGAGAAAGAAGACACACAAACAGTAAACTTAGAATCTGTTAAGGGAGCTGCTTGATTTGTTGCTAATGCTGAGTCATGAAGCCCTTGGTTGAAGGAGGCAAGCCTCTGGTCACTGCTAGCAAGCATAGCCCACCAAAGAAAAGGCAGTTACAAAGACATTGCATTTGACTATGTTTTTGGGTGTTCAGATTTTTTTCCAAGTTATTTCAGATTTTTTGTGAAAGTTTTGGCTACACATTGGAATGGCATTTGTGAACAGACTTATTTTTCCTAACTGCCACCTCAAGATTACCAAACAGAGGCTTTTAAGATTTTAAGAATTGAAAATGTTTACCCAAGATCATAGTTATTACTAGCCTGCTCTTACATTTTAAATTAACCCATATTCCCCATTTAGTGTCTTCCACTGGTAGAACATTTATCAGCATGGCACATTCATGTCTTCCTCCCTCTGCCTCATGCCCAGCTTCTAGCCAGTCAGTGTTTTATTAAACCCATTTGAGTGACAAATCATTGGAGTATACAAGAGAATTACTCCAACATAGATGTTACTTAGAAATGGGATTTCGTTTACCAAAAACCTTAGTACTCATGGAACTGTGACTTCATTTTTATGTAAAACCTACTCAATGGCTGGGAATGTTCATGTTACAAATATAAATAAGCATACGTAAACATTTAGAAAGCTACACAAAGTTAGTATTGATTTGTATGTATATTTGTAGGTACAAGTTTATATCTGTGTGGAGATGTATGTATGTGTATGATTCTGTATGTGTGTATGATGGGGAAGCTCTATTAACCAATCATGCCTAGTAAAGACATGGCTAACTGGAACCCAGGAAGAAAACTGGGACTTACCAGGTGCTCACTCTCTGCGTAATTCTCACCGACACAGAGGATGTTGGACTCCCCATTCTTGTGGTGTGAGTTTCCCATTGTAACCATTAAAAATATAATTGTTATCCTTAAGCTGGCCTGGTTATTTCCCATATTGAGCTAATTCACAACATGCATGTTTATATGTGTGGAATACAAGAGAAACTCTGGTGTTATTCCTCTGATTTTCCCAAACTTATTTGTTATTTCTTTTGAGATAGAGTCTCTGATTACTCTGTAACTTTCCAAGTAGACTAGGCTAGCTGGCCAACAAGCCCTATGTAGCCAATATTCTCTGTGTCCCAGTACAGTATTAAAACTTCTTGTGACCATAGTTTTTTTTTTCTCTTTCTCTTCAGTATAGATTCTGGGCCTCAAATTGATTTCCTTAAGCTTACAAGGCAGGCTCACCTGTCTT